TAGGCAACCTCACATCGAGGTGCGGCCGTAATAAACATGCATTCATATTCAAATTCACACAATTGCACCATGATCATATCAAGGGATCCCCTGTGCTAATCCCTATTCACTTAGAGCTAGACTTGGGGGCTTGATCCTTATATCATTAGCTTACCTAGCCTAAGAGTCACCATCATTTGACTCTTCTTGAAATAATATTTTCTCCACACACTTAGCCCTTGCGGCCTAACTTTAGTGTCACTTTCACACACCGCACAGATACATGACCAAATATACTTCCCTTAGGAACCCTTTGTCATGAAATCTTAACATAACGTTGAAGCATGCCTTGTCATATCAACATCACTCGTCATTGCATCACGAAGTATGAAGTACTTAGCCTCCGTGCCTAAGTTACCCAAATACTTTCATCATGGAGTCAACAGTTGAGATAGCCTAGGATGGATTAATCCTTGCACCTTGAGAGATAGTATCAAATGACATTTGACTAAGCTCGTTCAACATGCATTCGAAAGCTTCTTTCTTTTTCACGTCTTTCTTTTTCGGGAGAAATTCGGTACCCTCCACAAAAATGACGGAAAATTTTTGCTTTTTTGCATTTTTGAGTCGCACAATCAACACTATGCACACACGGGTCATGAGTCACATGTGTCATTTCATTTTGAGTCGAGTCAACCTCGAGTCAGTCAATCACAGCGAGTCAAGTTTATACTTTGAGTCGTGTCAAGTCAATGAGTCAAGCAATGCTAAACCTTAGGTCAAACCTAAGATAATTAAAGAGATTGGCAAAGTTCTATAGTCAAAATAAATACAGGTGCAGCAAAATAGGGAAGACCCTATCACAGCGTTCGGCGACAGAGTCAATTCTTGACGCCAAAGATCTTTTCAGTAGCGACAGAGATCGAAGCCTCACAGAAAGGTGATTTCGACCTCATATAGCAATTTCAGGTTCCTTGGTACGTCAGTTAGCCCCTATAAGCAATTTGACATGATTAAGTAGTCAGTTTAATTACAATCGTAATAAGTGGTTGACCTGATGAAAGATCGTCTCACTTAGCTTAAAGCGCCTAAGAATTGGCTCATCACGGAAACACCGACATACTGGTTTCAGCGGAAGCAAAGTTCAGGCGAGCTTTTAAGATCGACAAACGTTGGTCTTCGGAAATTTTTCTTCAGAATATTATCGCAACAAACGTTCAAGTACCGAAGCTCTATTGTTCAGAGACACGTGAACATTTCTATCAAAGCTCTATTGTTCAGAGATGCGTGGACATATTATCAAAGCTCTTTGCTCTAGAGACGCGTGGGCATATTATTCAAGCTCTTTTGTTCAGAGACGCGTGAACATCTCCATCAAAGCTCTTTGCTCCAGAGACGCGTGGGCATATTATTCAAGCTCTTTTGTTCAGAGACGCGTGAACATCTTCATCAAAGCTCTTTGATCCAGAGACGCGTGGGCATATTATTCAAGCTCTTTTGTTCAGAGACGCTTGAACATCTCCATCAAAGCTCTTTGCTCCAGAGACGCGTGGGCATATTATTCAAGCTCTTTTGTTCAGAGACGCGTGAACATCTTCATCAAAGCTCTTTGATCCGGAGACGTGTGGACATATCATCAAAGATCTCCTATTTTCAAGCTCTTTCGCTCAGAGACGCGTGGGCATCCTATTATCAAGCTCTTCGTTCAGAGACGCGTGGACACATCATTCAGAAGATCATATCAAAAAGAAGCTCTTTGTTTAGAGGCGCGTGAACATATCAAAAAGAAGCTCTTTGTTCAGAGACGAGTGAACATCGAAACAGCAAGGTGGCGTTCCCTAGATTATGGAGAGTTGTCACAAACAACTGAGGATTGTTTCAAGAGAAGCAATCTTCGATGGTATTCCCTTGGATGTGGAATATTATCATAGCGGAGGAGGGTCATTTCAGGCGAAGCAATTTTCTATATTGGAAGCAGTTATAGGCGTAGCGGTTTTTAAGCGGGATGACATTCTCTAGCTTGTAGGAAGTCATCAAAACAACAATCGGTTACTTTCAGAGACGTGTGCTCGACGGTGTAAGATACGCGTTTCTTAACTCTTTTATCTGTTTAACTAATGCTAGTTTTGCAGGTATCGGCATTACAAGAGTGATTTAGGATCGCAGAACGTTCTGAATCATTCTCCGTCCCTATCGATACTTTGACTTTTGTTTTCGAAACTTGCGTTTCTCAAAACTCAGTCAAAGTGGGGGCTTCTGTAGACACCCATTTGTGTCTCCCCAAAACCAAACCCAGTGATGAGTACCTTTCGCGTCGAATCATAATCGAATGAAGCGAAAGTGTGGAAAGACTAGTGTTGCGGATAGTTTTAATTTCTTTTCTTTTCTATCTGTTTTTGAAAACTTATTTTAAGAAAACAGCCAATCCAGTTTGGTTGGTCCATGATATGGGTCCAATAGTAGTGTAGTTGGATGGGGCTTGACAAGAGCTTTCCAACGATATATTATAAGCCCAATTCCGATGAATATTGAGGAAGTTATGGCCAATTTACTAAACTGGGCCCGGTTTGAGCTTTATATGCGGCCCAATGATCTAGGGGAGGGCCTAATGTGATTTATCATTCCTAATGCAATTAGGAATGGTTTTAGTCTTCTAGATTCTTCTAGAAGGTTCTTTTCATTCCTAATTCAATTAGCATTTATAAATTGACTTTTGTTGACTTTTCAGAGTTTTAATTAAAATCAAAAAGCATTTTCGAGGAAAAGATACGATTTTATCCTCCTGAACGGCAAAACTTATCTGATTTTCGAAAACGCGTCAAAAACAGGCCTGGCGCCTGACTCCAGGCATTGGCGCCTGGAACCAGGCCTGGCGCCTAGAACCAGGCCTGTCTCCAAGCATTGGCGCCTAGAACCAGGCCTGGCGCCTGGCGCCAGCCATTTGTGCCTGGTGCTAGCCATTGGCGCCTGGCGCCAATTAGCTGGTGCTGGCGCCAGCTCTGTTTTAGGTGGGCCAATCTCGTTTTGCGTGCGCCAAGTGCTCTGTTTTGATATTTTATCTTTTTGGCTGATTTCTCTATAAATAACGTATTAAAAACTCCATTTTCATTCACCAATTCTCATCAACAATCAGTTTTCAATTCTCTTTCATTCTCTTTAATCATTCGCTAATTCTCCTTAAGATTTCCCTAATCAATTCATTCATTCATTCATCTCTCTTTTTTCTAAACTTGCTTTTTACATACAAAATTCTGCATTCATTAGATCTAGAAATACCTAGCCATATTCCAAGTTGTCTTCGCCCTAGACGTGAAAGGTTTAATTTCTGAGGGTTTGGTCCCAAATCTCTCTTCCAATTATTTAATTTAATTGTTACGCTTTATTATTTTCCTTGAAGTTACTAACGCGTGTATTTTGTTATTAGAAAGAGGTAAGAAGCATCAAAGTAAGTACTTTAATTGATTTATTGGTGTTATGATGTAGAAATCATGTTTAAATTGTTATTATGATATTCCTAGTATCATGTCTAGGGTAACTTTAATATTAAGTATGATTAAAAGTATGATGCTTTCTATTCTCTTCCTAATATTTATGATTGTTAGTATCATGTTAGGGCTAAAGATTTGATTTTTATTGCTTAGTGAAATGCTAGGGTTTGTTATTAATCTTGTTAGTATCATGCCTAGGATCTTGCTATTATTATTATGCTTTAATATTGACATGAACATGATTATGATTATAATTGTTATAATTTATGATGATTATGAATATTATTATATGATTATTATTATTTTGATGATTTTTATTGTCATGATATTTATTATGTTGCTTGATGATTTTTATTTTTATTGCTTGATCACGCCTTTATGCATGTTTAAAGGGAATTTGGTACTTGTAATCACGCTTAATAAGATATTTAATAATATAATCTTGTTAGGGTTAATTTGATTATAATTTCAAGTGATCGCCAATAATAGTTTATTTGTGCATTATATTCAACCAACATAGATAAACAGGTTTAGGGTTAATCCTATTGATTGCATGTTAATTAAAAAGCGCACATGAATACGATCAGAATAAAGTAGAGGCCTATTATTAGGGCAGGTTCAATCTCTTTTAGGTTGGATTTGTACCTTCATCCCCGAACCCTTATTTGGTTCTAGACCTTATGGAGTTGACGATCTCTTGGATCGTTAAGGGGTGTAACCTTCACCCTGTGAACGGTTTACAAGTTCCTAAAACTTGTTGGCGACTCTTTTACTCTATCTTCTTCCCTTTTGGACGCCACCGTACTTTAGTGTATGATCACAATGGGGTTCAAGCTAGGGGTTAATGCTTGAATTTATTCCCTACAACTATCTTTGAATCTTTTAGCCCAATTTATATTCATATTACTTACATACTATGTTAACATGGCCCCACTTTTACTATCTACTAACTTTGAGTCTTTTCGCCCAATTTATATTCATATTACTTAAATACTATGATAGCATGGGCCTTTACACTTATATAATATAGGCCATTGGAAATCCATGGTAACATACATACTATGTTAAATGAATTGGGCACCACTATCCCCATGTATTGTGGGCCATAATATGGACATGATTCTAGGGTATTTTGAGACAAATTAATATTTATACTATAAGACATCTACACCTGTATCAATTTAACAATTGTAACCCCACTTAATTATATATTTTTAAACTTAACATTAAATTATAAGTTGATCCTACAAACACACATTATCACCGTCGTTGATACAACAAATTATACCCCCCATCAGTCCTTACATTTCAATAGGACTTTCATTCCAAGCATTGGACAATCAACTGCAATTGTTCTTCTCAAGTTACTAACAAGAGACCACATAACATACCGGAATACTAATTGTTAGGTGTTCGTATCCATAATTATAATACCATACACACAACTCAAGTAGAGATTTGTTTTAATTAATAATGGATTAAAGGCATTCACATAGAATGTCCCCTATCCATTGATTTCCTATCCGTTGAGTCCTACAAGTATTCTGAAAAGCTGGTAGATGTGCCAGTTAAAAGTATATCATCTTCGGCAACAAATTCCATTTGATTAGCCTCTGCGACTGTTTGTTGAGGAGGGAAATTTCGCCTAACCTGTAAAAAACACCATTTAAAGAAGATACTTGCGTCATGGAGATAATTGCGATGGGGAATATACTTGTAATGGAATGTGTAACGAACATACTCTCATCTTCTTAGGCTTGTTAGAGGACACAGCTTCATCTCCCCTATGGGTGTCGGCGTTATCCGAATAAGGGTTATCTTGGGAGTGATTAGAAGAACTCCATTAGTAACGTTAATTTATTTTTTTTTATTTTAATTTTTAGTTTAATATATGTATTAGACAATTATATTACCTGGACAACCTTCTTCTGTCGTGGCTTCTTATATCCAATCTCTGCTAGTCCCTTGTTGCGAGAACCTTTGGGCCTCCTCCTTCCCCTTTTCTTGGGCAAGGGATCTTTAACACCCATATCAATTGGTTGCGGCAACGTAGTTGTTGTACCAAAGTCATCCGAAGTTGGTTGACAAGGTGGAACATTCTCTTCCGGGTACATTAACGGGACTGTTTGCTCTAACTTTCGCTTGTTGCATTGACCAACTTCTGACTTAAGTTTCTCAAGAGACTCAAGCACCATTGCAACTGCCTCGTCGTTCACCATGGCAGCCTCCTCACATATTGGCTCAAACGCATTCATTAGTGTATTATATCTTTTCCCCACCAAAGTCTTATTAGGGTCATAGTAAGAAACCTTCACACATGTGTGCTTCCTTAGTATATCTTTCCTCCACCTATTCAGAATATATTGTTGGGGGATGTCAACAACCTGGTTATGTTCTAGAATCCTAATGATGTGCCTGCAAATAATGCCACTAGTCTCAAATTTCCGATAATCACAATATACGAATTTTGTTTCCGTGTTGAAGGTGGCGGAATAAAACCTTTTCCTGTCTGTGATAACACCCTCACTTTTACCCTCAGGCACAACCCAAACACGGTCTTCAATCAAATACTGAATAAGTGAATCAGACACTTGTATCTCTTCTCGTGGGTAGCTATACATCAGACGTGTACATTAATTTTGCACCTTTTGGAACTTGGTGTCAGTATATATCTTCTGAAACACATCTTCCACAGTGAAACCACTTACGAGTCTTCGAATGTACTTCGAGCATTTTGCATCAGCATCCGTCTCATCTCCAACTCGTTTATCCATGGCTGCTGCATACTTTTGTGGAAATTCACACAGCTTTGTGTTGCGCGTAAGGAAGCCATCAAAGAAACTGTTTATACTTTCCACCCTCTGTGTTGTCTTCATACCCGCCCAAAAGTAGTTTATCATGAAAGCAGGTACCCACATATGACGTTCCAAATACAAATCGCATAGCCAATCATTGTTTTGCAACTTGTACTCAACAATGAATGCATTCCATTTGTTCTCAAACTCCATTACTGTAAAACTCTCATATACAACTTTCTTCATCTCAACTTTCAGGTATTGGTACCTATCAGACATACATCAGTGTTATTCATTATATCAAACGCAACATGTTAACTTTGGTGAATATAAAAAAATAATTAATTTCCTTCTAACCTTTCACATTTGCCCAGTTTTTCTGAAATCTTTCGCATTATGTGCCATATGCACCACCGATGTCGGGAAGTTGGCATCACCTCTTCCAGTGGCTTCCTCATGGAAGCAGCCTGATCAGTGAGTATAGCTTTGGGCGGGGTATTGTTCATACAATGTAACCATTGTTGAAACACCCACCGGTACGTGTCACAATCTTCATGGGATACAAGAGCAGATCCTAGCAATATCGACTGCCCGTGGTGATTTACCCCCACAAAATTAACAAATGGAAGGTCGTATGGATTTGTCAGATAGGTTGCATCAAAACATAAGACATCTCCAAACTCCTCATATGAAGCCCTGCTACGAGCATCCACCCACAACACGTCTTTCAGCCTTCCCTCCGCATCCAACCGTTGAGAGTGAAAAAAGTCGTGATTAGCAGCTTGCATCTCCTGAAAATATGTCATCATTGCTGCAGAATCACCCCCCTCCATCTTTAATCTCCTGATTCTGTATACCTCATGTTGAAGGTCTTTGACAGTGTAAGACAAAGGGTCCGAGCCTCCCATCTCCGTTCTAAAACACCCATGAATTTGAGACACAGGTACACCCAAGTTAAAATAATTCTCTAACCTCTTTCTAGCCCTGGAATTAAAGTTTTTCATTCGATATTCTTTCACAAGCTTTGCATCACTAGGTTTAGGTGTGTGATTTGTATGTTCCAACTCAACGCCCTTAATTTCCCATTGCCCCTGCCGATTCAAGCTAGCATAAACCTTTGCTTTACAGTCACACTTCTTAGACCTCCTTTTACTGCAACTAAGCTCATCCTCAAACTCCACTCCACCAACAACTCCACCTGAACCACATACACCCATAGCCTTTGCCCTCTTTTTGGCCTCCCTTTGCGCCCTCATATCAGGCTTACCATAACACTCACACCGCCATGTTGTAAATATTCTATGCCTCCTCTCGCCTTTCGATAACACACCCTGAACCCTACTCACACCAAAACCTTTTTGCTCCCCATATTCTTTGTAAAATGCTTCAACATCTTGCCATGATGTAAAGACCATCCCTACTTTAGGTTCTTCCACTATGACAATACTATTCTGGTTACTTCCCACCACTGTTTTTGATGTCTCAAAACTCCCTATAGGTGATCTCAAATCAATACTTTCATCATTAATGCAAGGGGAAGGAGTAAAATCTCCACCTTCACCAGCAGATGGAACAATCACACTAACACTAGATGTATAGCGATCAATGTTATTTGCAGGCGCCTAATGATTCCCAATATCACATCCTCTAACCCCGCTGCCCATATCACACACTCCATTTTCATTACCAGACCTAATAAGCGGAGATTGGACACCACTATCCATTACAATAAACTTATACCTACAGAGTTGCACACACACTCATCACGCAAATCCATATTAAACACTTCTCATGAGATCTTGATACATACATGCAATATCTCACAAAACGATATAGGATTTACAATATCTATTTACTGTGATTTTGTCTATATACAAATACATTTAGAATATTATATATTTTCTTACGACTTCTAATGAATTATTTTCATTTGCTAATCAACTTATTAGATATACATTAGTAGTAATAAATTATTGTTCATTTCCCCATTTATCCAACAGTTACATAGCAAAGAGATTCCTAGCCTAAAATTGTTAGAATATATCCAATTATATTCGTTGACTTTGTATATAGTTAATATAGCAAGTGTATATCTCTTAGCTTAGTCATAGCCTAATTTGTAGCTAGCCTAATCATAGCCTAATTTGTAGCTTGACAGTTGCCGAGTTTATCTCGAAACCTTTGTATATTTATACTCTTGGCAAATCAATACAATGATCAACGATCATCGTATTATCTAAAACATGGTATCAGTAAGGTTGGCTAAATTTTTTGAATCTAAAACAATAATACATAGACAATTCTGAATTAATACCCCAAACTAATATAACCACTTCATACTAATTATATGATTAACGCCTAAATCATTTACATCTTCATATACTGAACAATTCCAAACTATACTACGTTATAAGTTAAGCTAAACTCAATAAAATTCGATTTACATAATCTTATTATGAATGAGAAATCAATTCACTACAGATCTACAAGTTAAACCAGCACAGTAATCAAAATACATGTCGCAACGTCCACATATAATTCTAAACAAACGCAACATGCTTTTCATCTCCCAAATACATGCGAAATTATACAACAACTGATAATCAAACGTACCAGGTTGAGATATGTTCACGAACAAGATTCAAGCTGATACACTTGACGCCTCACTGAAAATCGCCATTCTTCTTCGCTATTGTTTCGCTTTGGACTAATTGTATCGAACAAACAAGAACTCCAACTACTTACCATGTGCTAAAGGTCAAACATTTATTACTCAAACACTGCTGCCAACCACTTTGCATCAGAAACGGTGTTATATTTTGCGTCAAACCACATGTACTGAAATCTAAGTCTTCATGCCACATTGAAACCAAGATAATACAGCTCAGCTCTTACGTGGTTAGCTTACTGTTCCTCGAATTTACTCTTATTCCACAAGATGAATGGGGGCGCCCTCAGAGAATATATTTACCAACTTTTTTTTTTGAAATAATATATACGGAGTATATACCAACTTAGATATCTAATCAACAAACATAACTTTGATAAAATCAAACCAAAGTCAAACGAAGTAAAATAAAATCAACCTACAACTTGGAACCATTATAGGCCCTTATTAAAACCAAACCAACTTCAAAACTTTTGTGTTAGTCATGCATAATAATATCATAAATATTTAAATAAAACATTAAACACATCATATACACTACTACAAAATTGGCCAAAGAGACCTAACATAAAAGACCTGTTATCTACATAACGGGTCTCTTTGGTCCAAGAGACCATTTATAACTGATAACAGGTCTCCAATTTAATTTCTTTACGTGGTCAAAAAACTCGAGAGACCGGTTATTTAAGATAACGGGTCTGTGTGATTTTCTTTTAATATTCCTTTTAATAATAAAAACAATTTGAGACCGGTGGTGTAGATAACAGGTCTCTTGCGAATTTAATTTTTTATTTATTTTATTTTAAAAATTTGGAGAGACCTGTTTAGTTAGTTAACCGATCTCTCTACATTCTTTCCTAAACCATCAAAACCCTAATTCTCTAACTCACCGCCTCTTCATTTTCTCTCTCTTCTCATTTACCCCTTTCGCCTACCTCAGCTCCTCACTTCCGACTCTTCACTTTCTCTCTCTTCTCATTTGCTTCTTTCGCTTACCTCCTCACTTTCTCCATTTCCCATTTACTCCTCTCACAATCTAAAACATCTAAGGAGAGGTTGCGATTTTAGAAGTGTCCTCTTAAAGTTCTCCAATGAAGCAGTTTTAGCATTTTTCTCTTCTCCTTTGAAGCAAATTGTGGGTTTCATCATCTCCATTCGAGCATCCATTCATAGGAGTGTTTTAAATTTGGGTTTAAAAGTCATTTATAACATACTCAATGTTAAATTTCTGGCATGTTTTTTTAGATCTTAGCTATTTTATCTTAGGGATCTGATTAATTTTTTGCTAAGTTTGCGTTTTTGTTTTTTTTTTTCTTTTTCATTTTATGTTCTTCTAATATTGTTTTTATTAAATTTTGATTTAAGATATATTAATCTAGATTCGAGATTAGAGATACATTCGAATTATATTATAATCATTTTAATTTTTTTTTGCATTTTTTAAAATAAAATTAGGTGCCCATCATGTGGACTTGAGATTCTCGACGAAGGAAGATAAAAATTGGTTGAAAGAAGTAAGGAAAATGGAGATCTATTTTCTTGTTTGCTTTTGGTTTTCAATTTTGACAACTTTAAAATAAGTCTTTAGATCTATCTTTCATTTTCGTTTTTAGATTTTATAATCTTCATTTTTGTTATGAAATATTTGTGGATATCCATTATCCTCCTTTGTATCATTCCAGAACAATCTTGATCTAGGGTTTATATTCTTATCCATTCAAACCCTAATATATTGTATTTATATATACCCCATTATATGGAATAGAAATACACAGATATATTCTCTATCAATCTCTCTTATATTTCTCTCTATTTTATAACACGTTATCAGCACCAAAGCTCTAATCAATATGTATATTTTATTGTTGATTTCTTAGGTTAATGATTAATTCTTTGTATACTGAATGTGCTAAATTATGCTCATTATTATCTTGTTGTGTCGCATCTTGGGAAGAAATTACAAGGAGATTAATCTTCATCATGGGTTTTGATCATTTAATAATGAAATCACACGTTTCAAGAATGTCATATCATTCTCAATCCTCATTAATTAATTTGGGACTAGTACAAGTAGTCTCACGGTATTAATATTTTGGAATGTTAATGGTAGTTCCGCTTTATTTAATTACAAAGAACTCTCGTATTATTTTTCGGTTGCATTGGTTTGTTTATCTTAAATAATTGCTATACTTTATTTTCTTTTCATTGACGTTTTCATGAGTTACAGGCTAGTAGATGACGTTGACAATATGAAGTTGACGATAAGGCTGGTTTTTATAGTGGGGAAGGTTTTGATACGAAGAAAGTTCATTCTCAACTATCCTGTCATTGTTAATTTTAAACCTTTACATAATATGTTTATATTGTTTCCCAAATTTTTGTATTTTTATTATTCCTGGAGTTCAATGAGCAATTTGGGAATAGTTGGGGTTAATTTTATGAACGTATGGTTTTCATGAAATTGTATTACATATATTTGCTAGATTTTGGTATTACTTTTCCTATCCGTAAATGAGTTTGGTTATTTTTCTATGCTTGATAGCAAATTATGAACGGTTTGATTTAGCAATTATTTACCCATATAATTTGTTTGTGAAATCCTATGTATAATGCCTTGAATGTTTGTAAATTGTACGAAGTAAGCCTAAGGTACATGTGAAACTATTTATAATTTATGTATTGAATTATGTTTTTATATTTCAAGTATGATATGAAACATGTGGTTTTCCACTAACGTGAACGTGTTAATTTTGGTTGCTTATGTGCTTGTTTCTATTTTCTAATTAAGCTTTATCAGGCAATATATTGATATAATTGATCAGACAGTATAGTTGATTCAATCGTTTCAGGTATGTTTTTATTAAAGCGTGAAGTAGTAGGTTTTCATATTTTTACCTTCTCATTCAATTATAGTATTATGTACCTACTTGAAGTTAGATTATTGGAATGAATGTAAATTGAATATGATTTGCGGACCTGAAGTTCCTTATATTTATAAATATTATTCACACTAGCTTGAACATATAAATGACTCAAAACCCTTAAGGATAATACAAAGAAATGTGCATGATCTACAAAGCTAAAGCATATTGCTTAGATATCCACTACATACTAACGTGATTCTATAAACACAATGTCATGTTTACTTATGTTTCCAAATATTAATTTTAATTTGGCTAGTATAGTTGAGTGGATCGAATAAGGTATGTTTTGATTAAAGCTCGAACTGATTATGTCATGTCTTATTTTTACCTTCTCTTTCTGAAAAATGTAGATGGATTGGTATATATTCTCGTACATATGGACTTGAAGTTCCTTAATTAATTAAATATATAACAAAAAGTGTGTTATGAGTTCAAGTAATTAAACATGACATTGTGAGAAACTATACATAATCAACGTTTTATTATGCCCATAAATATAAGAGGTTTTTTTTTTAAGATGAATGTAATTGGGCATGAGAAACATGATAAGTGTTCTATAAGTATAATTTTATATAAGCATGTTTTTCCTAAAAAGAACATGTTACTTGATACATGACATTGCCAAAAGAATTTATGGCTTAAAAGTTGCAAGGATTTTAAAGGTTGTTGGATTGATTCATTCCATACCCCCATATGCAAGGATTAGGGGGAGATTGTATGTAACCCTTGCATATAAATAATAAAATATATTGATGGTTAGTTTGATACATACAATAACTTAAATATCAACGATTTATTTAATAAAAGTGACCACATGTTCATTAAATATTTTGAAATGGTACCATCCTGAAGATGGATATAAACAAATGACATTTATCATATACTAGTTGTAAATGATCTAATTTAAAATGGATGTCCTAAGAGTACAACATTAATTGTTGATAAACCTATAGCATGCCTGAAGCGTGATAAATCAATAGGTTCTAAAGATAATTAAGTATCTTTGAAAAGGAAAGGAGTCACTATTGACAATGACAAATATGAGGAAGTGGTAAATATCATTACATTTCTAGAAGAAATCACTTTTAGTAAAGTTCATATGTTTCATGATTATATAAAAGACTCCAGAAGA